CTACAATTCATTTTTGTCCTTAAAAACGTTTCAACAGGCATTACACATTTCCTCAGCCTGAATCAGTTTTTCCACCATTTTCTTCCAAGAGTTCTGTAATTTAAAGATGCTGATGTTCCCTAACTCTGCTAATTTTCCTTTCAAAATTAAATGAACTTTTACTCATCTTCCAGAATTTATTTTTTTTAGAAAAAGCATGTTCATACAAAGCACAGATGGGAATTACTTGCCAAGTCCCAAAATCTAACTCTCTGAGACAGATTCAGTGTCAATGTTCACAACTTCCCAAGGAAAAACTGTTTTCTGCAAATATTACCTAACACTAGCTAAGATTTTACATTTTCCCTGAATGGCCCTGATAGGAAAGCTAATACATATATGTAAGCAAGTGCAAAAGTGAAAATAGCATTACTATAATATTTCATTCAAGCCAACAACCAGAAATACGGCATAAAACTCTTGACGTTCTGGCCACTGACAGCTCTACTACCTCAATTCACAGAGAATATCACCAAATGATAGAAGTTGCAGCTACTTGAGTCTCAGAGAATGTAATTTCATTTGTTCATTTCAATGACATTTTTACTAGACTACAGCTTCATGTAGATTAGTCAGACACATCAAAAACCACATATTAGCTGAGGTGAAGCTGAGATGACTGCAGTTGTCTAACAGTGTCAATCTGAACTTTAGATGAATATAATTTGTTAGCTCTAAATGACAGAGATATAATATAGATCTCGTATATCGCCAAAGTAATAAATAATTAGTGAGCAGAACTGAATAAAATAGCAGGTTGAGCACACCCCCAAATTTTGAATCTTGATGCAGAAGTCAGTGATTCAGAATGATCTATCTTTCTGCCTCGAATGATAAAACAGCTTTCTCACAACCTACCACATAGCACCATCTGGCACAAACAGAGGAAACTAAGAACTTCTGGAAGAGAAGCACAAAAGCAATTTAGGTTCTTCAGAATTGTCCAAGATACTAAAAAAAATCCTTCAGAAATAGCCATCAGACTGCAAATGTGGCTCAGTGAAGCTGCCTCCTGTAGACATGCTTATATAGCTAATAATCTCTAATAAAGTGTTGTTGAATTGAACTGTTTGGGTACAGGATGGATGTTTTCAGAGTTAAGACAGTGCGTGGAAAGTCAATTGTCTACCAAACCGGATGCTTTTCAGAACATTATCTCATGTCTCTCAACAGGAATTTTAGGAGCTCAGAACACACCTCCTCAGCAAAGCTCAGCAGGCTCTTTTCAGTAGTTATTTCTAAGAAGTGTGACTAGAAACACCAACTTAAGCTGTGCTTTGGGCAGTATCAGCACATGCATTGCTGGCTGTTTGCTGGGGCTCAACATCCTCCACATCCAGTGGCACAGGAGCGGTCTGATCACACCGTCAGCCTCGAGAGGGGATGTGGAGCGGTGCCATCAGAGGCATGACTTGGACATACTGTGCTGAGTGGTTAGTCTGAGATGTTTGTAGTATAAACACAAATGGAGTCTGCAGTCTGGATGACATTAGACTGTTTCACTGATATTAGCACAGATTTATTTTATCATTGCTTTTTGAAAGTGACTTTTAACGCAGACTGTTTTCTAAATGATCCTTAAAAGACACTCCTTTCTTCCTCATCACCTTCACCTAAGGCAATAACATCCAGTAGCATTGATCTATTTGCTGCTAGTTTTCATTAATTTTACCCTCCCCTAAGGGTGGTGCAGCTTTGGTGCCAGCTAATTAAAACCTATTTAGGGCTGTTCAGTGCACTTTATCAGACCAGAATTAGCTTTGCTGCTTTAATGAAGACTACAGTTTTCTCTGTTATTACCAATTAAATGTTGTTATATCATATTGCATTATATTTCTAATGCATGGCAAAGATATAGATGGCTTTAGAATCACTTACCTGGATTGGAATACATACAAAGATGCCACATTTAGTAATTACCTAATGTTTCTTCAAATCCTTTCACTTGGCTCAATACATATAATATACGAAAACATTAGTGAAGTACTGGAAGAAGCTGCCAGCTTTATGCTCCGTCTAGGGAAGTACCAAGTAAAATGGATTAATGAAAAATTGTGGATGTCTGGTAATGAATATTATTTATGTACAACAATTATTCAAAGTGGATGAGCATTCACTGCCTTGAACTCAAATGCTTCACTAATGAAGACTCTCAGAAAGAACATCTGTCCCCCAGATTCATAACACCGCATACAAGGTTAATTCTCCAGCATGGATAGCCCATATCAGAGGGTATTTTGTACTGTTGTAGAATTAAAAAAATGCTTCATTGTGAAATAAACAAACTTGTTTGTTGGATGTTACTTAGAGGCAATTCTTGTTTCTTCCATGAACCAATAATAAACCATATGTCAATACCAAAGCTGTGGGTTTTGAATCTGCACTCAGTGAAGTCAGGGATGAAGCTCTCATGTCAGTGGTGCAGGACCAGAGCTTTTCCGCAGTAGAGAAGTGACTGCAGCACATACCTGTTAACTGCTTCTCATAACATCCTTTAAAACTTGAGCACCACTAGGATGAAACTACTGGAAAGTCCCACTAATTACCTAAAAAGATGGTATATCAAAGAGTAGAAATAGAAAGCTCATTAAAGGCTTGACAGACTAGAAATCTGTTGCAATCTTACTATGTATTAGTAGCATACTCTGTACATAAGGACAGTATTTTAGGATTAAACTAAAATAGATGTGGTTACAATCCACTCAGTACATTTTAAAATATGAGTTGAACTTGGTTTCCTTCCAGAATTTTTGCTGGGAACATGTTGAAACAGACCTCTGTTCAATCTAATATTGCAAGCAAGAGTTGATGTTTCTCTGAGGAACTGAAGGAATATTTGGCTGAGGAACCTGAGTCTGTCTTAGCATCATAATAGTCTGGCACAACACGTGAAACTATTTTCATCACCCACAAATCTCTTGTGCTCTCCCTTTACTGCTTCCACAAATGCCACATACCTCTAACAGTCTCATGACCCTCCCTAGAAACAGCAGACGGGTCCTGTGAATTGGAGATGTTACAGAAAATGAAACAGTTTCCAAACTGAGGTCCCCTGATTAGCAGAGAACTGCAGGATGTTTTCTTGTGATACAGAAGGTGTTGGCTGGTGACACGTTGATTGTTTCCCTTGTTTCTGGCTGACAAGCGCACTAAATGATGTTAAAAACACTGCTTAGTATTTGATGTGGAAAAGTAGGACTAAAAATGAAGGTTGCAGTAGACACAAGGATGTTCTCTGATTGCCACCGTAAGAAGCGGTGGGGGTTTTTTCACAGTGTTAAAGGGGGGCATGTCCAAATGCAATGTGATGTGGGTCATGAGGCAGGCTCTTTACAATTTGCCCCTGTTCGCAATGTGAAACTTTTAGTCGTAGCAGATTAAGGAAAAAGAAATTGGGCCACTTTGACATTAGGCTGCTTAAGAACTTTGTTCATAAGCACGGAGAGAACAGAAGTTCAATCTGCCTTTGACATGGAAAGAAGCATTTGTATTGTGTTAATTGTAATAATAAAACCTTGAGATGTGTTAATTTGTTGAAAAGGAATGGATTAGGCTGGAGTTGAGGATACTTTGACATTGGATGATGAGATTTTTGGTGTACAATGGTCTCACAATAAGGATTTTGATAAAGTATTGTAAAGTCACTGTGACTTGACCGACTGTTACATGGAAGAGTCATAAATATACACACTTTTATGTTTAGCAATGCAATAATGTACCCATGATCATATTTAGCTTGATTAATATGTAAACCAGATGACTTGGATTATTAGAGGTCATTTTTGAAGAATGGATCTTGTGTATTTTCTCTACTAGCCTCTGTTCATCAGCTTGTTCAGTTAAACTAAAGAAGCCGTGATAACCTTGACACCTTTGACATACAGGAGCTCCCTCTGACTCCAGAATTGCAGCAGCAACATGTGCACATGGTGAACAAGCTGAGAGGCAAGTTCTTCCCTATGCTTCAATAGTTTTAAAAAAAGGACAAATCAACTCTAACCAAGTTTGGCAGTTTAATAACAAAGTGAATCAAGGAAGTTTGAGAGAACAAGCTCTTCTACTTCAAAAGCTAAGTCAAAAGTTCGAACTAAGTTAAATTGTTTGTGAATATCTGTATTTTTAATTTGGTCAGAATAGCTACAGTCCTTCACAACGGCAAATTCATGATGTGCAAATTCAAAAATTAATACTAAGGCACAGCAGTGATCTGGAACCTCCTTCCTAGTTAGCACCAGTGAGTGCACATGACAGGTGCTCTTCCATGCCAAAACACAGATGATCAGAATTTTTGCAGCTCAGTTACAAATTCCTGTAATTTCTGGTCTTAATTCCACAAATCCAGTTTCTGCTCTGAACATGCTAGCCAAAACAGTGGCCCTCACACTTTCATCTCCTTACAGTCCCCACTTGAGTAGCATAAACACACATTCTCAGGCATGGAAAATAGAATTTCAGCATAATTCTGGTAAAAACCTAAATCTATTACAGTATCACTGATAATCCACTTTCACCAAGAAATAGAAATAATGCATAACCCTGAGGTTTGTGTTTGAAGAAAAGCTACAGTGAATCTCAACAGAGAAGAAAATACAATATCCAGAGTTATCCTGAGGTTGTGCATTTGGAAATGTTGTTTGTGTAGGATTATCCTCTCCAAATAAAATGTCAACTTAATCAATAGTAAATTGAGCTGAAAACAACACACAGCTTTGAAAACATTTCAGGAAGACATCCAATATTTTTGGGACTCAAGCCAACAGAAATGGAAAGAACAGAAGGTAGTGTAGGTGGGGTAAATGGGGCCTAGCTGCTGCCTCATCAAGTGCTTATAACAGTCAAAACCATATAACAATCCATTAAAAACATATCTGGGGACTCATTTAGTAGCTGGCATCCGGCATGGACTTCTCTCATGTATCTTTTGTCAAACATTATAATTGTGCTTCACATTTAGGACTTACCGGTCTTTTCCTGTCTCCTTCTTAAATACTGCATCACAGTAACTCATGCGCTTTTCTGTTGTCACATAGATTTTGGCAGTTGGGTAGCTGTCAACAGTTTTCTTCAGCATGTTGTACACAATGCCATTTCCATCCTTCCTCATGTTTCGAAAAGGTCCCCAGATCACATAAACAGTGTTGTTGGTTTCTTTGAAAAAGTACTCGGGATTCTTGAGTAGGAGAGGCACGCTTGTGTGAGAGACCACTCTTATGGTTGTCCTCTTCCCAACATCCTCCTCATAGCCCTTTGTGGGAGCATTGTTCATCCTCCATATGCAGGAAGACTTGTCTATCTCGGCTCCCACCTTCTGGCCAGCCATCTGTCCCGAGTTTGAAACAATGGCACAGAGGTCGCAGTCAAGTTGTAGGGGCTGGAAGAAAGAAAACAAAAATATTGGCAATTCTTGCTCTGTAAAACATGAAGACTGAAAATTCAGTTAAAAGAAAGACGGGCACAGTCCAACAAATTGATAGCAACGCTTCTCTTTAAAAAAACCTAACAATCCCCTTGTGGTAGAGCTGCTAGAAAACCGTACCACTAGAAAGCTCTGAATGCAATCCTTTTTAGTGAAACAGGTGGCAGTTCCAATCTTTTCCTTTGTTCTCCACTTTGCAAAGTCAACCAGAAAAGTAATAATTCCTTGTTTTCCTCTAAATGTTACTCTTTCCACTAGAAAACAATAAAAGAAAGAAGCAGCAGAAAAAAATATTTAGATCAATGCCTTTTTCCTTTTTAACAAAGTGTTGTCAGTAATAGGAAAAAGGTACAGAAAAAGTAATACTGGAAATATAACTATACATTGACTGTTTTTATATGTCTGAATGAATAGTTCCCAAATTTGTGACAGAAGTCAAACATGAGATAAAGCTCTAAAAAGCAATCTAGTGGCATGAAAATCCTGCAGTTGGAAAGGAGATGCAGACAGAGGAATATGTTGTTCTCTCCAGAGAATGGTTATGACCCATGAAAAATGAGAGATTTAATCCTGGGCAAACTGAAGTCAAAGACAGTACTTCCTGAGCATGTTCTAGGTACTATTTCTCCAGTATGAATTGAAAATAGGACCAGTTATCTAACAGAGATAGAGAGACCTATCTGATGTTCTGTTTGTCAGAGTATAAATAGTAAATGTCTTTTGGTTCTTTTGTACCAACAGACTAAAAGGAAATTCCTGGTATTTAAGTTGGATTGTGCGAAAAGGTTGGTTAGAAATCTAAATCAAATGAAAACTAGATCTGTCAAAAAAACCTACAGAAAATGGTCCAGGCCACAGATCATCTATAATTTTTTGTATGGTCACAGACTTGATCTTCTGTCATGCTCCCAGTTGGGAGACAGTGACTTCAGTTTAATGTTTGTTAGGAATAATTCCCTTCATATTCTTTCAACATTTAGCTTGACAGGATGCTAGATGCTTTTCTGATCAGACTTGTGGTTATTTCCCTTCAACATCGCACTCATTTAGCTGATGTGGATGAATATCCTGGCTACATTTGACCACTATAACCTTAGGACATGGTGGCTGACAAAACATCAAATTTCTCTGATAATGGTGCATAATATAAGAGACAAGAGATAAACATCTGAAGAAAGCCAAATTATAACAGCTAAAATATCTCATCTTTAGGTGACAAATATTGTACAGAACTAAGGTGCACCCTGCAAGACTTCTGCAATAAATCTCACAATTACAAAAGTTTGATTTCTCTATTGTGATTGGTTTGATTTCTCTATGTGAGTCATTCATGAAAACGTTCTTTCCTCATTTCATCAGGAATTAAAGATGCCTGACTGCATGCAAAAGCATTGGCAATATTTCCTTTACAGAACACCAGGTATTTTTTCATAGCTGTTGTAGTTTTAGAAAACTGTCCTGCATAGCTCTCTGACAGCAGGGATAAAATCCCATGAGATGCAGCTGAACACAACAGTCTTTCTGTTTACGGCTTAGTTACAGAAATCCTCTCTCAGATACATTGTGAGGACATGGCTGGGTGACCTAAACAAATCCATAAGCATAACTCACATCCTAACATGAAGTGAATTGTTAAAGTCCCAGTAGATTAATTTATAGCTTTCAGGGTGAACTTTCAAACTAACAAATGCTGAATATGAAACTGCTAGATAGGAAAAGCCAATTTGGTGAAGAATCTGGTCCCATTTAAATTTGTCTCAACCTCAGTCGTTTTTCCACAATATTCTTCCTTCTCCATTAAAATGGAGCTGCTCTCTTAAATTTGGAATTGTTTGATTTTCTGACCTTAGTTAGAAATGCATTGCACATTTTCTATTCACTGAGTGTAACTGTTCTGCTCGAATAAACTGAGTACACTCACTCCTGCAATTGTGTCCCCTGGTTTTCTAGCTCTTTTGTTGCGATTCATTTATCTTGTTCCAATTTATAAAGCGCTTTCATAATATTGAATGCCTGCACTAGGTCAACATATAATCTGCTCTTCTTCAGTAGAGGCAGAGGCTTAACCCCTCCCAGCCCTACCTCAGAATAAGTATTTTTACAATGCAGCAAAATTTTACATGTACTAATATGCATATTTCCCAACAGAGATCCCAGAGAGAGTTAGGAGACTGACACCCATGACAGACATTCCACGAACTCCAGAATCATCCACTGACTTCAGTACCCTTTTGCATCATATCTTCCTCAACGTATGAGAAAACACACATCAATATTCACTCGTTGAACCCTCATATGGAAACAGGCCGGCAGCTTGCGGTGTCCATTTATAAGCATCACACATGAAAGGGGCAGTTTCAGTAATCCGCGTACAACAGCTTTCTCATTTTCCTCAGTTAACATGACATTCCTGTTTGTTATTACACCCTAGCTCAGGTACGGCTGTCCCATCACTTTAAGACTCAAAAGCTGCTCAAATGTAGCTCCTCTGCCAGGTGGCTCCCACAGAAGCTATTCAGGCACAGGGATGTGGGTGCCCAAGGGGCCAGAACTGGGAAGCACCTGGGTAGTTGTGGCTGCTACTTCTGCTACTGAACTAGGACACAGCTGACAGCTCCCTATGACCCTTGAGGAGTTGGAGTGATGTGCTGTTGCCCCCCCACCCCACACTCTGGGGTCCTACATCCCTTACACCCATTTCCCATATGCAGACTTTTGGCTGCAAGGTTGCCCACGATAGCCCTAACCTGTATGAGAAACTATCACTTTTCCATTTAACTTGCTGTATCGTTTGTATTAAGGATGAACAGAAGCAGAGAGACAATTCTTACACACAGAAAGCGGAATAGAGAGATGAAAACTGGAGAATTAGAGAAAATGTGCCTTCTTAGTGATCTGTTTTGCAGTTAATAGTAACTGTTTACAGGTGTCCACATCACAAACACCAGGATAGCAACTGAACACTAACTCATCAGCAGCCTTATCACAGAAACCAAAAATGGTTCTGGCAGGCAGTCCAGGCTGCCCTCTCATCTGTAGAGATGGTCCAGCAGCAACGGGATTGACACAGATTGGCAGGACCATACAGAAACCTATGCTGTTACTGTTTATGCTCTCTGGACCAAGAATGTGAATTAAGGGTTTACCTGTACCTTTCACAAGATCTTCATTCACTCGCATTGTAGATACATGAGTTAAAGAAAAAAACAAAGAAACATTCACCTTTTCTTCTTTTTTCATGTATTTAGACACATATTTCACCTCTACACACCACAGGGGCTAAGCTATTATTGCTTCGAGAAAATTATTCATTTTGTTGCTGACCAGAAGGATGTAGAAGTTCTCAGCAGAGCAGCTGGGCATGATTCTGACAAATTGTCCCATCTTTTTCCTGAATGATACATTGTAACTGTTGAGGAGCACTTATATTTTAATCAGTAAAGAAAATGAAATGTCTGACCTTTCCATTTCCTGTGCCAGCTTACAGACAATAGAAAAGATAATTAAAACTGTGAATTAGAACTTGCAAAACAGTGCCATTTCCCCAGCAAAGAGAAATAGCTGTGTAATAAAGGTCACTTATCAAACAGTTCTAGTTATTAAATCTTCGCATTTAGCACTGAAGTGGCTTCACAGAATCAAAGGTCAAATCATTAAATAACAAAAACAGCCAGAATTAGAAAAGGTCACAAGCAAATCTAACTAGAAGTAGGTCACAAAACATGATTCTGTTCCACAGAGTATTTCAATATTTGGAAAACTGGCTACTCTCCAGTTTGAAACAACTCCCCCCATCATTTCAAATGTCTCCACCAAGAGACTGAAATTCCAGCTACAGGACTGTTTGTATGGGTGGGTTTCTCAGTGGCACAGATCCTGGATCGCCAAGTTTCCCAGACACGGACCTGTAGGTCTGCTGAATCCCCAGGCGGAGATGATCTCAGGCCAGGTGTCGACCTCTTGGCCAAAACTTCAGCACGAGTCTGTGGAGTCCAACAAAACAATGTCTTGACAGACCAGTCATGTGCCAAGCTCCTGTCTTAGCAGAGACTGCCAGTTGGACCAAATCTGGCTCAGGACCTATGCAGATGTAATTTACATTAATGAAAAACTGAATTTCTCTTGCGACTTCTTAGCTCTATAGGCCGGTGGTGCTCTGGAGAGCTCACTCCAACCACCAACTCTGCTTCACTCTGTGAATCCCACAACTAATCATACAGATAGTTAGGAAATTCAGATTAAACTTTCCCAATTGTTACTTTAACAATATGATTGTAATTTTGTAAATTGGATGCAATGCCCATTCACTACATAATGAGGCAATTATTAGCAGCTCGCCACATATTAATTTGCTCCTTTAATGTTGAAACAAATGAGATCTTTTCTTGTAATCATCCTATTTGAGTGAATTCTAACAAAGCCGATTGAACAAAGCTCCAGAGAGACTTTCTTTATTTCAATGCCATTTATTCTTCTACTCTTCTTGGACGTCTTTAGAGTTTTAGAGGATACAACATTTATAATGATGCCAATAGGGAATAGATTTTGCCTTTATTCTTCTTGATGTTCTTTTGAGGTCTTTGAAATGAAAGGTACAAGAGAGGCATTAACCGTCTGGCATTGTTTTTATTGCTTTTCTCTACTTTACAGGCAAAAAATGTATTTTAATTTTTCCTGTGTTGCAGTGATGATTAACCAAGCTGGTTTTATCTACACTTACTTACTTTCTTCAGACCCCAGACTGGGAGGAAAGACTTTCCAGGCTTCTCTAAAACAAAATTCAGCACATTTAAAGAAAAGAAAGATAGTACTTGTGCGTTCACCCAGCAAGAGCTATCAATTTAATACAGCATTCAGAAGCACTGCATATAAATCACATTATATAAATAACATCAAGCGATAAAAATAAAAATGATAAAACCCCACAGGTCTGATTACCCTGAGTTTGTGGT